AAATTTGTACATGTTCTCAGAACGAGTAGTCAATATAAACATTCAATCTTCCATTCGATCACTAAACTTGCAGGTCAGACAAGCTGGCAGCAACGTTACTTCTGGACAGTAAGCCACAACTAACTTCACAGCTTGCAAGTTCTTCAGTTTGAAATACTAGTTCATATAGTATCAGTAATGCACATAATTTTTCCTTCTTACATGGAGTAGAAGGCTCAAGGAACAAAAAGGCAACTAAAAATATATTTGTTTTATTTAACAGTTTTCTAAAAAGCAAAGTCATAAAAATTAGTCACAAGTGGCAAAACCAAAATATATTGCACAGTGTACAGAAAACATTGTTGACATGTTGACAAAGTGTCATCACAATTAAGTCATCTTACAACAGTTTGGAAAAATTACAGCTTCAGAATCTTACCTATAAATGGAGGCATGTAGATTTAAAGTTACAGGAAAATATTTCAATACCACCCTGTAAATGCAAAACACTTTAAGGATGCAAGATTAAGTCCATAAGAAAGCACATCCACAAAATGCTCTAAATATACTTTTCTCTTCCTCTCACTAAGTTCTAGTTACGAGATGGTCATTGGGGATGAAAAAAAAAAAGAGAGAGAACAAATAATAATAAAAAACAGGAAAAAAAAAAAGGCATGCTAAAGCAAAGAAGTTCAAAGTGGTTGAGAAGTCCCTGAAAATAATTTGTATAATTATGATGCACTCCTTTTATATAAAGCTTTTATTTTTTCCCAAACCCTGGTCCGATTAAAACTATTTGTGTCTACACGTAAAAATGGAATATATTTAATATGTTGGTATAGCTGCACTGCTCCATTTGTGATTAAAACATTTAGTACATCAGACTTGAACACTAACATTTTAAAGTTTCTCATTCAGTTTATATTTACACATATTTAAGTTTGACCTTGCTAAACTATTAAAGATAGGAATCAGATCTTGCTGGGTAGTGCTTCACACTGCATTTAAGATACTTATTTTTTAAATTGTGATGGTACTTGTTTCACAAGTTCACACACTCTGCTATCTGCAGAACCTGACTCCAATGCAAATTTCCTCATGACACTGTCCAATTAATAACTAATTACTCTGCACAAATTATTTATTCCGCTAAGCAAATACCAGTCACTTCTCCATGGTTTTGGTGGTGTCAGATCTAACTTCACATCCTTTTCGTATACAAAGAGAAGTATTTTTATAGAATGAAAATAAGCTTAAATTTCAGTGAATAGAAATGTTATCCTAATAAAAAAGGAAATGCTTTCCATGAAAAATATTTTAAGACAAACATATCAAAGTTAATTTAATTTCTGCATATGTTTTTCACTCCAAGACCTACAGCTGACATCTAACAATACTGCAACTAAATGTCCTTTAACTAACCAATATATTAAAGTTGCTCTTTTGTGTTCTCTTCCCACATCCGACACATATAAACAGCACAAGAACATAAAGTACACACATTCAAGTCAATACGATCTCAGAGGCATCAAAATTAAATCCTTGACCGCAAAGGATTCCAGCCATGAGTTTTAGATTATGCAATTCAAACATAGTGAAAGTCAATGCTATTCTCCAAATTACTTCTTTTTTATAAGAACTATCTTCAAATGACAAGAAATGTCTAATCCTCTCTTGCCACACACAAGTTTGATGTTTGTTTAGCCACACAGAAAAAACTGATGGCCCATCTCCTGACAGAACAAATCAGAAATAAACATTAAAGTTATACCAGGCTTTGTCTAACAGTCACTGAGGCATATGCAGTAATCCTCTGTAGTCTTAGTTTTTAAAATCTTTAAGCATAAAGTATTTTTGGGTATAAATTCTCAGAAATGATGCTTCAAGGTAATAAACAGTTCATAGTATTACAGTGTCCATTTAAATAAAAGGCTACAAAGTTGTCAGCACTCGTCTATACTTTTTTACACATTCACGTAAGTATTTTGACCCAAGACAATCTTACAAAATTAGTTTGACATTTCTCTTAGACAAAAAAAGTTCCTACATTCAAAACTATAGTAAACAAAGAGGATGGGGTTAACTGGTATGAGTTAGGTATGAGAAGGGCAAGTGTGAATTGACTTGCTTGAAGGTTGTTTCTTCTACTATGCTGGACCACTTCAAATATTGAGAACAATGCTAAAGAGCCGCTAAGCAAAATTGCTAAAACAATTTATAACGCTGAATCACTACCAAAAAAAGATCTGAAGAACAGCATGTACGTAAGGGGATTTGCAGTACTCATTAACCCACTCTACAAAAAACAGTAGGCGTCAATGATAGCTTCTATAGTTTATAAAGAAATACTTGAGGCATATAAGTGCAAAATATGAGTCTTTTAAATAAGAGCTATACCATCTTCAACAATATCCTTACTGGGAAGAGATTGCCACCATTTAAAAAGAGATTCATTCACAAATGACTCTTCTTGAGCAAGAAAAACACATTTGTTTTTATGAACTGGATTCATCTTGCTGAATTCAAGATTAAAATCTTTATGGATCATCACTGTAGTCTTGAAGCAGCTTTGAAAACAACAAGGTCAAAGGCTATGTTTGTTCTTCACTGACTTGATTCAGGGAAACCAAATTGTTTTCCCCACTGTCTTCGATCATTTCATTAAGGTCCATTTCATGGATTTCTTCATCATAAGATGTATAAAAATTGCTCTGTATATTGTCCTCACAAAAAATACATTCCTAAAAAGGAAAAAAAAAAAAAGTTATAGAAACTTGTAAGTAAAAGAAAAAAAACAAACCAAACAACAACTTTTCCAAACAACAGCCCATTTGGCATGTGATCCCTGATTCCAAAGGAACCTTTACATCTGTGCTGCAACCAAGATATATTCTGCTCGCCAGCTTTCCCTCATACAGTAATTTTATAACATGCAGTAAATCAATACAGGTACTTGAGAACTCTACTGGAAGCAGTTATGCCATGGATCATTTATAAAGCTGACATCTTACATGCACTTCCAGTCACATTTTCCTCCATTTGATTGCTAACCCTGCAGTAATATGTTCATGTCAGTGGCAGTGCTTAAAGAGACTGAAGCAACTGTATGCTTACACAAGTTGGATGCTACAGTATTAACGTTGCAGTAATATCAGTCAGGATTAGGATTCCACTGCAATTCTGTTACACTGACTTTTGAAATACTCATATGCAAAGAGAGCCTCTGCATTTGATAACTTACGTGCAAAAAAACTACAAAAGGATAGAAAGCTTAAGGAAAGGAAAATGCAATCAGGCATTTGTATGTGAATAAGTAAAATACACAGACAATAAAAAAAACTGTAAGGATGCTTTGTTTTCTCTTTTTTGCTTTTCAAGTCATTAATCCACTTACAGAACCAAGCCAAGAGATGATCCCGTGTGAGAAGTCTGATAGAAAAAAGGAACAGTGTAGTCCCATTAATTTTGTACTTCCTTTCTCAAAAGCAATGGGTATAAATTTCTGCGCACAAAAGACAGATTTTTATGTGGTGAAGTTTCTGGCTATCTTGGTAAGGGATTTCAGACAGATACAGAGAAATTTAAAAACAGAAAGGAAATTTCTTATACTGTATTCACCAGAACTTTTGACTTTCCCATTGGAAAGAAGTCTTATGATAAATAAAATCAAGCCAGAAACCACTGCATGAAAATTTGAATTAATTTTTTTCTCTGTGTAATTGACCAAGCTTTCATAGCAACAGGAATGGAAAAGTCTAACATATGCAGTTAATAATTTAAGCACTGTTATACATGCAAAATAACTCACTCATTTAAACTTACGGAATTAGCAACAGTTTTTGGCAGTCCACCTTGCTGGATCCACGGATGAACTTCAATAAGCTCTCTTTTTTGTTCTTCTGTAAATTTTGGCTGTAGTTTCTGCATTTGCTTTAATTTCTGCTTATCTTCTTTTAAAACTGTTTCCAGATCTCTAAAATAAAATGTATTTAGAAATTGAGCTTCAACAGTTTCTGAGCTTTATGCCTACATAAGGTTACACAGTCAAATACTATCATTTTTAAAGACCATTTTTGTTCTGGAATGTTACAATTCTTATATTGGAAGAAAATTAAGCATGGCTATTTCAGCAGCTTTCTGCATTTGCAGATAACTTTAATGCATCTCTGCTGGCTCATTGTCTTTTCAAATCCCATCAGTGATAACAGTTTTCTTAGAGCTATTCAGGCAGCACCGCAGGTGAAACCACCAAGAACTCCAGTTTCCCTCTGCTGCTTCTGCAGTAAGTTCCAAGTTCCCCATCACTGGGAGGACAATCCGAAACAGACACTAGATGCACATATGAGATACTAGAGCAGAAGAAGTAAGATATATTAAGAAGGTCATCAAGAATGAATTAAACTTCAGGACTGAGAAAGAGAGATTTAGAAAATACTGCTTTATTTCAGCAGCCTACTTCTCTCCCTCCAATTCCCCACCTTGAATCAGAAACTTAAAGAAAACCCACACCACACCCAACATTTACAAGCTGTATTCCTCTATAGAGGATGACAATAGAAAAGCATGTTCCAAGAAACCCAGTGCTATTTCTGTTCTGTACAGCATACCTAAGAACAGGTAGGCTTTACACTTCTTTTCCTGGGCATCATGCTTTAATAGAGAGCTTAACTCTTCTTATCACAATATCCTGTTTTATATTTACTATTTTCTCTTTGGCAGGCTTTGCTACTCTTCCAGTCTACTGGAATTCCCATCCATAGTTATCAACCTTTCGGGATAAAAAAACTGAGAAATACCAAGGTACTTTTAAATCTAGGGAAAAATTCTAAAGTTCTTATGATGCGTTCTCTATTTTTTTCCCCTCATCATCCCTGTGCCTCTGAATTTTGAAAGCCTGTTTTCCTTCCCTTTCAAAAGACTTGTCTTTACTGAAACTTCCTATTCCTTTCAAAATACTATTCACTGCTCCCAAGAAATACAAACAAGAAGATAAAAAAACCCCACCAACCTGCAGACTTGCCACCACACTTCCTCCTATATCTGCTCTTTGCTATTGAAGCAGAGAGTATCTCTTTTTTTTAAATAAAGTTTTTTTTCCATTAGAAACCTTATGATTTTTACCTTCTATTTACTTATCCTATTTGAAAGGGAATTCATGGAGAAGAATGAAAGTTAATAACCCTGGAAAAAAACCTCACAAGGCAGAAAGCAGCATGCCACTGAGTGTGGCATCTCAAGGACAACAGCCCAGGAGTACAGATTTTCCATGCTACAAACCATCATCAGTTCTAAGCGTACTTGCCATGATCTATTAATCGGACTACAAGGACTTCTAGGCAAGTAGTTACAAGTCACTAACTATGAAACAGCTTCAAATATATATATATACCCAAGTTAATTTCAACTCAGGTAATTGATCTAAAAATCAAATAATCTTTACTTTTTGAGAACTTACTGTGTAGTATACAAAAGATATAAAGGAAGCAAGAATTCCTCTTGGCAGCGAGCTAAACATTAAAACCAATTTACTTCTATTGAGACAGAGATGCATATGTATCTTTCCTTCTGTACATCCTGCTCCCCCCCAACACGTATACAGATTGTGAAGGACTACAACACTGGAATTACCGTGAAGGTATCTGGTAAGTCATCATAACAGTGTCATCTGTGTTTGCCATCAAAAGCCATATAGGATCCTGAAGGACATATTTAATGAAGTGCTCACTTTCTTCAATTTCTGCCTTCATTTTGGTTTTATGCTGATTTTCTGAGGAATCAATACTCCCAAAGTATTTGCTGGTATGACTAGTTTCACTACTACCTTTAAAAAGAAATTTAAAGTTTCATTATAAATTGTCAAATACATAGATTATCTGAATGCTTTTGAAAATAGAGAAGATTAAATAGAAGTGAAAGCATAAATACAACCACTATATTATTTCTTTTTTTAAACAGAGGGAACTTCAACCCCTAAGTAACTGCATTAATATTTTTTAAACTGAAATCCTCAAGCTAAGTCTCAATTAAATTTCAACAGAATAATTAGCTTACTTAAATTAAAAACTCTGAAATGAAACATGGAGTACAGCAGTTTCTTTTCATTATTCTGTCATACCTACATAATGTCTTAATGGCTATTCTATATACACTTTAAAAAGCTTCTATACTGTAAATCAAGCACAATAGAAAAACTTCCATGGTATGTAATAAAAAACCAAATAAAGAATGAACTATGCAATGAGGATTTAAAGACAATAAAGATTTTTACATAAAGCACTTGATGTTCAAGTGGTATTTGCAGTACCTCACACTCCAACTCTTCTAAAATGCTAAGAGAGTACTCACTGCCGGAGTTACCTGTTCTGCTCCCTGACGTGCCACAGCCATTGGATCCAGACCCTAAAGACTCAGCAGCTGCAGATACACCACTCCCTGAAGAAGCTGAACCAGTGCCTGAACATGCATCTTCTTGAAGTAAAATGTCAAGTAGGACACTAGACATGGAGAGTGCATCACTATTTTGAGCATCCATTGGAGATTCAGCCTAGTCATAAGAAGGGGAGGGGAGGGAAAAAAAAAATTTAAAAATCCAAACCCATAACAAAAAGCCAAGGCTATTTCACTACTAATAATTTACATTTAATATTAATCCATTTCACTTTATATTCTAATATGTTTACACAGTTATTCAAAGACGGACAACCAACAATAACATATGCCAAGACCAACTGAGGAGTAACAAAATGGACTGAAACGTAAACAAGTGGACCTTCACTAAGACTGAGATTTCAATTCAATTTCTGTTTAAAAAAACCCAAACAAACAACAAAAGTATAGTACTTCATACTTAGCTCCTACTACAGTCTTCCTCAGAGATTTGAAACAACAGTCCATCACTATTACTACTCCCAATGTATGATGAAGGTGGGAAGAAGGTGTTCCCAGATAAAAGCTTGCTAGGCAAGACAATTTATTTGCATGCTTTTAAGAGAAAGAGCATTAACTATGCTGAATTCTAACATAAGCAAAACCACTTCAAGTCAGTTTGAAGACTAAATTCTAGAAATTATGGTTGACAGAATTTAGCAAAATACATAATAATGGAAAGAACTAGCTTTATCCTTACCACATGCCTGAACAAATGCCTGTATTGTTCCCATTTTACAGTAAGAGATAAGGAAATTACAGAAAGTTACATTTTGCAAGTTTCTAAAGAATAGGAACAAACAGGTCAAGGACACTCAAAAGAGTTTGCCGACAAAATTGTCACTATTAAATGTTGTTATCAAGCTTCTTTTAATCCAGCAGAGGCATCTCAGAGTATGCTGTAAATTACAGGTTGTCACAGATGCACTGTTATACCTAGCACAAGTCAGAAGTCCTTATAGAGATAAGATTTCAGAGGTATTATGTGATGCACAGAATACATTAGTCCAAATATGGCACTGGATACATATATCCCTGAAAATTTATCTGTTAAGTGTCATTTCTACAACTAGTATGATAGAGAGATTTTTTTCCCCATTAAAATCAAATGGATTTGTTCTCAAGATCCTGGGATAACAAAATCACGTAATAACAGAATGTGACAAGTTTTTGCACTGTATCCATTGAGTTTGGAAGTTTCTCTAGAAACATGGATACAACAAAATCCATTTCTCTTTGTTCTCCCTGCATTCACCCCCCTTAAGGAACAATATCATAGAATGGTTTGGGTTGGAAAGGATCTTAAAGATCATCTAGTTCCAACCCCCCTGCCATCAGCAGGGACACCTTCCACTAGACCAGGTTGCCCAAAGCCTCATCCAACCTGGCCTTAAACACTTCCAGGGAGGGGGCATCCACAGCTTCTCTGGGCAACCTGTTCCAGTGTCTGACCACCCTCACAGGAAAGAATTTCTTCCTAATATCTAATCTAAACCTCCTCTCTTTCAGTTTAAAGCCATTACCCCTTGTTCTACCATTACCTGCAACTCCATCCCATCAGAGACTAAGCATTTAAAGATACCCTATGGTGCCTTTAGAAAGCATTAATACTAGTCTACATATTTCTGTCATAGAAACCTTTACGTACATATTACCCCATCTGAAGTTTCTGTAAAGTTATTTGTTGAACTGATTCATCAAATTTTAATGAGTCAGGAAATAAAAAAATCTGAAGTTACCAAATAGCTTGGCATAGTTTTAGTGCACCAAATAAAACAAAAATAAAGTTATGGTCTGCAAGTAATAATTCATTCTTCTTCTACTTTGGTTGCTTGTTTGTGAACAAAGATGTGATTTTATTTTAAATCAGCTTCTTTCAGACCACTTACAGATTGTTTCCCCACTCCACACTAATATACTAGCCCAAAACTTTTTGCTAAAAATAAAGTGTTCACATTATTTTAAATCTATCTTAGTGCTTTTCAATAGGCTTATCCATATTCATATTTTTTTAAAAAAGTGGAAGAAAATATTTCAGGATGTATTTCCAAGCTTCCTAGCATAACTTTAGAAGAACAATAAGGTAGTTCTAATTTTTAAAGGCTACAACTATTCTACTGATTAGATTTCATGTTTTATTCAGTCTGCTGAAGTTTGAATTTACTAACTACAATAGTGAGTTCATCTCCTGGCACTATACTGACTGACTACTGTTCGCCATTAAAAAACAGGTCCCACAAGTGAAAGGACTGAAAACGACGTAGCGGACACAGAAGAACAGGGCAAAAAAAAATAAAATCCCAAACCCAACAGCATACTTACTGGCAAGGATCCCTTTCCACTACAGTTATCAGTTGTCATGATTTTGCCTATGGCTCCTTCCTCACTTAAAGCTCCATGTAAACCTGCAGGAGCTCCGCTTTCAACAGCTTTTGGGGTTTCTTCTAACTGTAGAAGATTCAGAGGAGAACTGCACCTTGACTGAAACAGAGGTGGTGAAGCCTGGTCTTGAGGACCCACTGACTGCGGAGTGCAGGAACGGGATGGTTCATTCCTTGGCTCTGCAACAGGAACCTTTTCAGTCTCTGCTGATGGATTATAATGGAATGGTTGTGTGGGAAAAAATGCCTGCTGTGGGAAAGGGCTGGGTGTAGCAAATGGTGGCTGCGTTGGAAATACTGTCTGTGAAGAGAAAGTGGAATGGGCAGGGAAGTTGGGTTGGCTATGGTAAAGCGTTTGAGGTAAGTTATTGTTCATCTCTGGGTAGACATAGTTGGGGAGCACAAGAGCTACAACAGGTGTCATAAGGGGTGCAGAGAACTGGGATGGTTGCATAGGACAAGTATTTCCAGAGTCTTGCAACTGATTAAAACCAGAGAGTGAAGTCTCAGGAGCTGGTGGCACAGTCCCTGCAGCTGGAAAAACAGGAAGTGGATATGCAGGCATAACAGTGGGAAAAGACACTGCTGAATAGCTCGCTTGCGAAGTATTTGACGGTGACCAAGCAGTAGTATTTAAACCTTGAAGAGGGAACCGATGGGGAAATTTAGTTCCAGAAGTTGTACTGTCCGAAGATTCCTGTGGTTTAATGCGCTTTGATTTCCTGTTCTTTCCATTTTTCTTCCAAGGCTGATCCATTCCCGAAGTACCATTTCTTTGTCCACGGCCAGCTGCAAAAAAATCCCCAGAAACCCAAAATATCAAGAAAGATCCTACTTGCAATCTAATGGATCCTTTTCACCTTGTCATCCCTAGAAGTTGCTCAAAACTGCAGTTCTGGACTTAGCCTACCCAAATGGAAGCATCTGAGAAGAGGTCAGGTTCACTTTTACCTCTAGCACAAGAGCTGAGCTAACTGGCAATGAAAACCATGCTGGCATGCCATGGGGGAAAAAAAAAAAAAAAAAAAAAAAAAAAAAGAGAGAGCAGCAGCAGTGGATCAACTCAGGCTCAAATGTGTCACCCAAACAGCACAAAGCTGCAAAGCAGTGGTTCCTAGATGAGCAAACTTCTAATTACTCCAGCAATTATAATGAAAGCAGTAAGGGACGTGACTTGAGAGTTAAGGTCATGCAGCTCTGTAACTGAAAAGGTAAGGAAAAAAAAAAAAGCAGAAAGAGAGAAAGAAAATTTCCTGAGGAGAAAGAAGCATGCTACCTTTACAACCTTATTTTAGAAGTTTGCACCAAGCGATTCCTTCCTTGGCAAAGGCTGTCAAGCTCATGATTACAGACATGAGGAAATCTATAAAATATTTTCTGGCGCTAAAAGCTGCTCAAACTTTTAGTTTGTCTAAAGCTTATTTAGATAGGCTGAAAGTTTATTGAGTATAGAGAATGTAAGGGGCCTAAAGGGTTCCAGAATATGTCTCCTAAGTCAAGGACCTGCATAACTATTTAAATAAAAAATTTAAAGGATAAGAATCTGCAAAAAAATGCTTAGCAGCATCTGAATTCTGTTCCAAGTCAAGTCAGGACTGAAACAGGAACAAAGTCAGATCAGTATCAAGCACTTCTGAAAATGCTATTGAGAGTTCCTAGTCCTAATAAACAAAACAATCTCACTATTACAGCTAGTTTGTGCCATTTCCATCCCACTGATCACATTATTAACTTAAAGGCAACCAAACAATTACCAGATTGTTTCCTTGATTACACAATAGTGGAATGGGAGAAACCAGATGTAAAAGAAAGGAGGAGAAAACAAAACAAAACAAACAAACAAACAAAAAATCACAAGCCTGGAAAAAAAAAAAAAAAGACAGCTGGAAAGACAGAAGGAAAAGAAAAGCAAGAGAATACAAATATAGATACAATAAAGCAAACATGCTAAAGCATGGGTTTTGTCCCTTGAAAGTAAATGAATGACAGCAACAACACAGTGAATAGATAAAAATTAAAACATTAGTTACTAAAATGCCAGTTATTACCTCAAAAGCTATACTCCACTCTCAATCTTCACACTAGACTCACTAGAAAGAATTTTTCTGTGGATTTTAAAAACAGCATGCAACTGACACTATTCAGAGTGGCCCCACAATAGAGCTAAAAATGGAAATGCCCTCTCAACAGAATTTACTTCCTATATAAATACAAGTTTTATCATGAAAACTATTGCCATACCACGTTCACCAGGCCGTCCTTTTGGTTTATCTTGGAAGTAGTAATTGCAGTGGGACTGAAAAATATTAAATCTCTTTATTTCTTTAAACTTATTCAAAAAGCTCTGCTCCTCTTTTTGCGTATGCACTGCAAGGACTTCCTTTGTCAGTCCCAGTTTTTTAAATGGCTCCTTTTCTTGATTTACATGTGCAGAGTTGGATGGAGGGGCAAGAAGTTGGCCATCTAAGAGTTCTGCTCCACTTGGACCATCTTCTATCATTTCTACAGAAATAGAAGGAAAAAAAAAAATAAGCCAAGATGAAGTAAATAAAGTAAATAAATGAAGTAAATTAAGTAAAAAAATAAAGTATATGCATTTTTAAGCTATTATAATTCTGTAATAATTTTGCTGTAAGTTTAAGATACAAATTCCATTCCTATAGAAACATTTTAGCTGTAAGAAAATGTAAGTCACAAGTAGACACTAGCTGTTCACATGTCTGAAGTTTAAACTTGCTAGCAATCACCATTTTGGAGACAATTTATTAACAAAAAACATACCTAATTCAGGTTGTGTTTTTTTGTCTCCAACATGAACAATGGTGCTACTGTAGCTGCACTGACTTGTGAGAGAGACAACACTTTCAGGCTTGCCAGGTAGCGCCAAAGATGTTAAGTGAGCACCGACCACTGGGGGACCATTTGATTTACCAGATGCCTTCAATACAGCAGGATCTATTAAAAGAAAGTCATAGTGTACTGAACATAAACCAGAGCAAATGCAAGTTATATGTTGCTGGGGCTGCAAAACAGTAGAGGCTAAACTGTGCATTCCACCAAGAACATTTTAGGAATAGAAGGACTTCTGAGCAACCAAATCCAATCCTTTACTTTTATATACAGTCAAAACAAATATTTTCAATGAAGAACTTTTTATTCTTTCCTGGTCTTCACTCTTCTTTCATGGCACAGTTTTGGAAGAAAGTTTCCAGTCTAAAATTAAGTCTCACCCAGCTCCCATACTGTTGTACACTAATCTCTGTCATTAGCTGGTTATCCTAACAGCTTTGCTCTGAGCATCTACCTGTTTAAGTTCTCTTACCTGAAAGCTATACACAATAATCCAGCAGAGGTCATACCAGTGCCTCATAAAACAGTATTAAAACATTCCTTCTCTAGTAGGAATACTTGGCATAACACATCTTTAACACCTAAAGTTTGCCTTTTTCCTGACTAAAGTATGCTGGTGGCTTTGTTGTTCTCAGTCATCAGTGCACCAAGAAGCTAGTGAACCCACATCTTCTCCTGACAACTAGAACTGCATAGACTCCAAATGACAGCAGAAATTGTGTTCCTAATGGCATGATGCTAGTTCCACCATTTCTCTCTCTCTCTAGTTCCCAAGGCATTCAAATTCCTTCTACAGTACGCTTTGTTCCTATGTATACCCACATCTTCCAATTTGATTTAAAAAGCTGCATTAGAACTTCTTGTTGAAGCTCATCAAAAGGAAATATAGACAAGATCATTACCAAGACCAGTTTTTGAGAAACTCCACTAGACAGTTCCCCTTCAGCCTCATATAATGACAAGGTCGAATCAGCAAGTATCTCATTTATATACAGTTCTTTACAGTTCTCACAATTCTTGAGCTAACCAGTTACATTCCTCACTTTAGTTCCCCATCTAGAGAAGGGCCATATCAAATGCTATACCTAAGTCCTAACAAATTAAGTTAAGGTTTTTGCCTACAGCAGACTTTTTACATAGCTATCCTCAGTAATCCTAATCTTTTATTTCCATGGCTGGACATCCCTTTCAAGTAGCTTCTTGTGCCTCACAAAACACAGAGTAGTCTAATGCTGCATTTTACCCTCTCCTGTGTCGTGTACCCTGCCACACTTTTTTTTTTTTTTTTTAATGTCCACAAAGAAGAAACTAAAGTGTAATATGCATATTTTTGTTGCAATTAATTAGCTGCCAGGTTCTTCACTTGGTTGTTCCTTTAAGTCTCAACTCTGAAAAAAACTTTTTACATTTGATACTGACTCAAGTCCTAAAACTCAAAATCCTGCTGTATATTGTACACTATACATAAGCTTATTGCATCTACAATCCAGATATTGAATCAACCACTCTGTATTTTGACAGTAGGGAAAATTTTCATAATAAATGTCAGATCTCCAAGCATTTAACACTGAGAAAGTGGCTATGAGGTCATGCTTAAACTACGCTTGTCATTATTCTGCAAAGAAGTTAATAACCAACTGGTTGCTAGCAAAAAAGTAATCGAGAAAAAGCTGTGATGTAGATATACCTCCCAAGGGCTGTACAGCATTATCAGCTGGTTTTTGTTCATGAACTCCAGAATTCAGTGATGAAGCACTTGATGAAGGTTCACATTTTCTTTTTGCTGTACCGGGCACATTACAACTCTCCAAGTACCTAAGATACAATGATTTAACAATATTAGATACGTGAGTCCTAAGTCTAGAGGTCAAGAGTAATTTACACACCAGCTGCTTACCTGATGACACTGTCCAAACAGCTAATCTGTTGGTAAGAATATATGGGTTGTTCTTTCCAAGCCAACTCTTCACTGGTCACATTTTTAGGAGCAGCTGTTAGTGCATTATCTTTTCCCACTCCATCTTTCACCTGACCACCAGGACCATTTTGTTTTTCTATGAAAAGAGATACTGCTGTTATGCAATTATAGCATTAAATCTTTGCAAATTCACCTAAAAGTAACAGTGAAAGCTCTCATCTGTATGCATTTCTTAACAGGTCACAAATTAACCACTGTAAAGCAACTAAGAGGTTTGCACACTAATAGATGATATAACATTGTGTAAATAATTTACATGTAACATTGTGTAAAAAATTTTCCTGTTCTTAGGGATTCTTGGAGGTGTGAATTTTATTAGTTAGGTTGATGCATAGGGATCCAAAGGGAAGAGATATTATGGCTGTAAAAGAACAGATATCCCTAGAGTTGAAAAACACTCAGTAGGCAGACAACTCTAGTACCCGTAAGTTGTAACAAAGTATCAGAAGAATAACGGATTAATGTATTCAGAATTTAAATCTCATTAGTAAGATTTTAAGATTTATTAACTTAAAAATTCATGAGGTTACAAAGCAAACAGGAAAGATAACATTCATAATGTCATCCTCCACCTAACAGAAAAGATGTTTGACTTGTAAGAAAATATGAGCTACAACTAACATACATCAAAACAACAGCTTTAGGATATGCCTTAACTGTGTGTTATAACATCGGTTCAGACATAGCTGAACATAGTATTTTCTTGAGCACAGTTGAGAGACACAGGACAATATAATTTTAATTGATAAAAATGCTGTCTTTATGCATTGATCAGAAGTAAACTAGAAAAAAATCCTACTGTTGCATTATATGAGGCACCAGTGCAATATACAAATAATGAATTTGCTAATGTCTTACCTGCAAAAGGTTCTCTCTTATATTCCAGTTTTGCTTTATTGTCAGTGAATATACGCTGTCCTTTATTTTTGACCTTCCGGGCATCTTGACAAACCACCTGAAATTAGGCAATTAAAAAGAGTTATTACAAAATTCCGACACAAACCAATATGCATAGTGATTCCTCAGTAAATTAAATCTAACTTTAATTAATCTCTATCTTACAATTAGTCTGATCACAGGAAAAATCCTGATGTATAGAATTTTATTGTGCAGCAGCACAATTCTGGGAATTGGAAAAAGATTAAAGTATGGTTTTGTACACAATTGCTCTATTTTGTTTAATATGGATGAATAACTTGGATAGGAAAAATATTAAGATACATTACAAAAAAGACCTCAGAAAAAAAACCCAAAACAAAACAGCAGTATCACTTCATAAACAAAATATTGCTGCCAAGACTGAGAACTTTTTATGCTAGAAGTTTAACCAAGCCCTGACAGGATATTATAGAACTATAACATAACAGTTGCAACTGTCTGTGGAAATAGCAAAGGAAAGATACGTATTTCCCTCAAAAACAAGATCTCCTTAAACATTACTTTTCTGTATAGCTCTGAAGTGTAATAAACTTATCTGTTAAAAAAAAATCCAGATACTTCATCTGCTTAAGCCACTAGTGTTTAAGGACTGAAAGCCAGGAAAGCGAGCATCTTGGCAAGAACAGCAGTGTGCCATGCCTGATCACAGAAGCAGAAATCAAATTTGGGACAATTAGCCTATAAACAATATTAACTAAGTTAAGGAAAACACTGGCTTTCAGAATTAAATGTAACTCAGTGAGCTACAACAAATTTGGGAAGACCAAAGCCAAAACAACTAGAGATGTTAAAAGGTGCAGTTCCTTTGCATCCACATTCAGTAGAGTACTGTCCAGCTGATTTAATTTGCCTGTGGAATAGTTCTGTTAAGCACAGGTACAAATTTAACACTGCTGTTTTGTTCAGACTAATAGAATTTTAAAATTCAATTAAAATTAAATTATATCTCACTATCAGCTAGATGTAGCAATGGCCTAATCTATGGTAAAGTTAAGTTTTAAGCTAAAAAAAAAAAATAAAATTATTCCATTCCATTTATTTAATTCCATATTATATAGCATAATTTTGCAACATAAAAAGTGATGAAGGTCAAGCTACCACTTGGTTATGCAGGTATTACTTCATTTTATCATCTTAGTTTTATTTGGAAAAACAGTAATTACAGACTTTTCGCTCCTAAAAGAAACTGCTTCAAATATCCAGCTAGTTTTCCCAGAAACACAGCATATAACAGATATTATAATAAGTTAACACACTGTACAGGTTAAAATGCTTTATATACACTGACTTTCACACCTATAGTTGTGCGTCAGTGCTCTGAGACTTCATCTACACCAGAAGTGTTTATTCCCTTGGACAGAAAGGTTTTTCCATGTTAAACAAAAAAGACAAACAACTTTTTCCTTACACTTTCTTCTATCCCTTAATTGAGAGGGTTATACTGTAAGTAAAAACCACCACTTTATTACTAGTTTGTTTTGTGCCACATACTGGAAGAACAAGAATTCAAACCTACTGTTTTATCCTTATGAGTGTCTTCATTATTATTTCCTGTGCTGTCACTGGAGGACGCCACACTCATTAAGTGCTCATGTGAACCATTGCTACCTAGACTTCCGTAGCCACTGGATCCACTGTTGTGGACAGGCTGTTAACAACAACAAAATATATATATCTCAGCACACCAGCTTTAAATAAAACTGAAATTGTTACCGGTAATTCCATGTAAGGAAAAAAGAATTTATTTGGGGGGGG